TTCTTCTTTTCTAACTTGATACTGTGATTCACTTCTGAGTCTTGTAAAGAAGATATATTTATAATATTATCTTATCAGAAGACATCTAGATATTTATGATATTATTAAGAGAGTTTTGTGTGAGAATCTGTTATTATAGTATGAGATAACTTTTCTAGAGCTTTCTTAATATCAGTCAGACTGATAAAATAGATTGATATATAATTCTGCTATCAGTGACTTTATCAGTGACTCTGTCAGTGATTTTGATGATAATTTCTTTTTCAGAGTATTTTATAAGTGTTGACAGAGATCTGTGTAAGATTCATAGTCTTGTAAATATTATCTTTATGAATTCTATCATTGTTAGAGAATATTAAGCTTCTGTTTTAAGCATTTAACAAGATGTCTTATTCAGATAGTCAGACAAGTCCTAGTATGAGATCATAGTCAAGATTCTTAACTTTGTATACATAGACATCTTCACATTGATGTTCTTTAACATCTATGTTTAGTTTCATCATGTAATGAGTATAAATGTTTTTTAAATTATCAAATCCTGCAAGGAGATGAGATCTTGATAAGAGAATACACTGAAGATTATAATGTCTTATAATTGAAGATTTAATCATTGTGTAATAATTTAGACTGCTGTTTATCATGACTTTCACATTATATATATTATCTATCACAGTAGATAGAAGAATTACATTTATTGCTATTTTCTCTTCAAATTATTATTATTCAATCTCTTTAAGCTTCTGCTTGTGAATTTGAACAGAAGCTAATCTTTTCTCTGTTTCATTAAGACATTCTCATAGTTATCTTCTTAATTCTTCTCTAATGTAATGTGATTGATATGAACAGACACTGATTCATTCTTTGAATAAGAAGATATGTAGACTGATTGACAGTTGAAAGCAATATGTCTCAATCAGTTCCAGTTAATACATACTTCTTATTAATATTGATCAGTGACTTCTTCAGAAGTGATTTTAGAGACTCAGAGGCCTGTTCAGATAGCAGAGACTCTTGCTTATATATAGATATTTAAGTTTACTCAGTTCATAGCATCTGTATCATTGTTGTTATTACTCAGCATAGATATGTGAGTGACTGAGTTATTTCTCAGTATAGATGTATAAGTGTAATGTCTTCTATCACTGTTCTGTATACTCTTGAGCTTGATAAGATGATTATTCAATGTTCAGAGCTGTGTACAGAAGTCTTCATAAGTCAGGTCTTTATTTACACTTATAAGAATCTGTAAGAGTTTGAAAGTTAGTGTCTTCTTAAGCATACTAATCTTCATTCAATTCTCTCAAGATTGATCATCTGCTTCTAAGATCTTGATAATGAAGTCAGAGATAAATGTTATAAGAGAACTATTTCTCTATCAGATACTCTATAATCAATCTAATACTTTCTATTATATAACAGTGTCTTGAAACAGAACATTAAGATATTTGATGATATTATCAGATGTTTATAACACTGATTCATATGCTTTCATTCATGAATCAAACTTCTGTTTTATATGATTCTTTAATTATTTATTAATATATTAATCTTGATTGTTTAGTGAACTGATGATATCTTCATCTATACTCAGTTTGATGAGTATCTTCATTCTTCATGATGAGTAGAGAGTGAGATTGAAAGTATTGAAATATATAAAAGTATCTAGACTGGCCGCCGGGACCATGAATTTCACATTTGGTCCCATTTGGTCTGGTCTCATACATTTCTTAGCGTGAGTCCCACCAGAACCAAGCCTCAAAAAAATCTGAAAATGAACCATTTCTGAGAGAAATGATGTGAAAAATGACCAGATTTAATTCAAGAACAGTGAAATGAGAGTAATTTCTCAGAATAAACTGTGAAAGATGATCATTCTTTCAAAATCAGAATAAGACTGAGACTGAAGATTAAATTCAGTCTCATTCAGTTCATTCAGTGATTGCTTATATAATCAGAATTTAGTAACAATTATTGATAACACTCATGAAACAACTAAATACATTCTTGTACAAGTTTATTCTTCACTTTCTTATGAAAACTACACTTCTCTGATATACTGTGATCAGAGATATTAAACTGTCTGATAATTTCATGTTTTACAATCATGAGTTTCTTGATTATTTCTTCTTGTAATTGTTTCTGATGATAGTGATAAATATCTCAGCTTGAGTTGAACTTTCACTTCATTCTCATCTCTGTCAATGAAATTGTCAGAATATCATGTATCATCAGTGTAATAGTTGAATATATACTTATAACAATTTTTCATAACTCTAGATTGATTTGATGTATAAATTTATTGAATCATCTTGAAGATAGCAGTCAAATTCAGTTTACAAGTATGTAATTTTATCTGATTTTCAGTTGTAATCAATGTATGTAGTCTGTTTCAAGTTAGTATTATAGTTCTATATATATGAGTGTATCAAAGATGTACTTACTAGAGATATATTTCACTTCTTCACATCCCTAACATCTGCTCATCCTAATCTCTGATAGTTAGCATTGTAGTAGTCTCAGACTTAATTTAACATATTAAGTCTCATTTCTTCTCTGTCAATCATGAGAAGTGTAGATATTAACTTGATAGAAGAAATCTAGTAGAGCTGCTACAGCATAGTACTCTGTAAAAGATTGTTCAGTTTTGCTGTAGTAATATGCCAGCTTATCTCTTACAGTAATAATAGCCTGTGCTATAGCATTATCTCAGACTGAATTTCTTTTTAAGTGATTCAACTGCTTCTTAAGATGAGTAAATAAACTGTTATACACTCATCAGACTGACTGCAGCATTGATGTACAAGTGATTGAGACTGTCTTTATTATCTTATAAAACTGAAACAGTAAACTAATCATATATTTCAACTGAGTTTACTTCATATCAGAAAGTTTCAATGTCTGAATCTTTTTCTGATTAGAGTGTTGCACTCAATGATCAATCATCTGACATAATCAAAGAGTCTGAACAGTCATCTCATATGTTGAACTTTACTATATTCTGACATTCTGTATCATATTCAGTGATGTGATTGATTTGTTTATTTGTTAAATATCATGAAATCATTGTTATTATTTAGAGAAGATACAAATCTCATTAGCAATGTTTTAAATCTGTGATATTTAAATTATTAGTCAATCTATTCAAAATTAACAGTAGTATTATCAAAAAGCATTATTAAAAAGTAATATTAAAAAGTGTTATTAAAAAACATTATCTTTTATAAAGTGAATGTAAAAGTTACTTGAGTAATTACTTTCATCTCATTCTCATCTCAAGAATCAGCTATCTCATTATTCTTCATCTCAATGTTAATATTCTTTATCAGTGTTTATATCACAAGGTAAATCACATGAGCAATGCAGAGAATATGACCTTATTTATCATTTCAGAAATACAAAGCCAATTTTTTCTTCAAGCTGTTTATTATAGTGTAGTTATTCACAGTATTATCAGTTGTAATTGTAAGAAGACTGAGACTAATATCTTAATAGTCATTTTTAATCACAGTCATTAATATCTCTGTTATATAATCCTCAGTATGACTACTGATCAATGATTCAAATTCAATTAATATCTCTTGATAAGTTCAGTTCTCATCAATATAATAACATATAACTTTTATAAATGCAAGATTATTTGTACTAGTTCATGCATTTACTGTGAGAGACACTCTTCAATGATTCTTCAACTCTGATTCTAGATATTGTATATTGACTTTGTAGTATGTCTTGAGATTGAACTGAAGACAGAATTGATATAAAATATGAACATTTAAATTAAGCATTTGAAGAAGTGTTCAGAATTCAGGATTTTCAATTGATTAAAGAGAAAGATTCAGAGATATACACATGCAAAGTAATTATTCACAGAAGTTATCAGATAAGAGTTATGAAATCAGAGTACTGATACATGATTATTTTCATATAATTTTCTTTAAATTAGAAAGTTAGTATTATTAAAAATCATTATCTGATAGAGTAACTTATCAGCTTAGTAGTAATTTTCTGATTATTTTTCTTTTATTGTCTGCATTCTGATGACTTCAGATGTCAGAAAATTCCTTCAGAACTATAATCAGTTCATGATGAATATTTCTGAATGAAGTTGTAGTGATTGTAGTAGAGAGATGACTCTTCAGTAATCTGCAATGCAATCTATTGATAATTATTTCATAGTTCATCTCAGTGTTTGTGTTGAGTTTTTCATAAATTTCATGACCTGAAATCAGATATAAAGAATGAAGTGATTATTCATTATAATTGAAAGAGAGCATTCTGTGTTGAATTGTAAATAATATAGACTTTGTAAATCATAGTGATTTCTTGAAGAGTTTATGAATCTTCAATAGAAGTAAAAGAAGTGAAAGAAGTGAATTCAGAAGATATAATAATAATTTGAGAAAGATGATAATTTATTTTTAATAACTGATCACTGATGTGTGTAAGAAGAATTAATATAAGAGAAAATAATCTTCTTTCTTAGCTTAGTTATAATTTTAGTACTAACTCAGATTGAATATCATCAATGTATAAAAGTAAATAAACAATCTTGATTAATCTCTGTCATATTTCTTGAAATATATTAATATTATGAAAGAGAGTGTTATCAAATTATGTTATCAGATAATATCATTAAAAATATATTAATATTGTGAATATTAATGTTGAAAAAATGTTGATACTTATACATTATAGTGGCATGGCATGATAGTTGAATATATATATATATATTATTCCTGACATTGATAATTGATTACAACTTATACAATAATTTTTGAAAACTTAAAATTAATTTCAATTATTAACTAATAGTTACAAACTTATAACTAACTAATATAAAAAGAAAAAAACTTTTTCTACTTATTATCTTTCTTCTCTTTCTCATTCTTCTCATCATTCTTTATAATTCACTTCTCATTCTCATTCTTCTTCTTCTTCTTCTCATCTGAGATGATAATTATCTCAAAATCTCCCTCTGCTGCCTTCTCAGAGAAGGGTTCTCACTGCTTCCTCTTAGCCAGATCAACCTGTGTCTCAAAATCCTGCATTTTCTGGTCTGCTATCTCAGGTTTCATCTCAGTAGTAAGCAGATTGACATGCTCAGAGAGCAGGGCTGTCTTCTCAATATTCTGGATCATGAAGTGCATTTGAGACCTGAATAAGACCTCAATTCTCTTCTCCTCTGTCAGCTCCTGCTAATCAATTAGAGAACAGAAGTATTATTAAAAATCATTATCTCTTAATAAAAAACTTACCAGTTTTGACTTCTTTGTCTCTCACTCTAATATCTTCTCAATCTTCTTCTGCTGCTGCTTATTTACAGCAACACTCTTCTTCTCTCTCTCTCTCTTCATCTTGATCTTAAATCATTCTCAGAACTTCTTCTGATTTCATTACTACTGTATAAGACTCTTCACTATCTTCTTTTTCAATCTCTCACAGGCAGTGTCATCTGCATTATTTCTATACTTAGTTCAGTCTAAATCTATCAGAAGTATTACTTAAAATCATTATCATTCTGCTCTCTTACAGAGTCTCTTCAAGGCATTATAATATGTCTTATAATCTGTCTCTCTATACTTGAACATCTTCTTCTTCTCTTTCTTCAATCTGTGATAGCACTCACACGCCTTGATAATCTGCAGAACCACAGAATATTTGAAGAGAGATGACATGATTGATTTTAATAAGTGTTGAGAGAGAGGTGAAGACAGGCAATGATATAATAATGATAATAATGATGATGATAATAATAATGATAATGATGATAATGATGATGATGATGATGATAATGATGATGATGATGATGATAATGATGATGAAAGAAGAAGTGCATCAAAATATATTATTGACTTATTAAATATAAAGAGACAAAGAAACTATTAACAGCTTTCAGAGATGTACAGAAACAGCTACAGTGTTACATAGCAACATTATCTTTATTCAATACATACACTATTGATATTCTTTGTATACATTTATCATATAATCTATATCAGAGATACATGCAGAAAACAGATCTTTATTACTAGAGAGAATGATTGCAGCAATTCTCTGTTTTCATATTATAAAGATAAGTTATTCTCATTTCTTTCTTCTCTCTTTTCTCTTCTTCTTCAACTCATCACTAAGTTCAAGCTGATATGAAAACTATTAAAACACTCTTAGAAACCCTCAAATTGAAGAGTATAGACTAATCAAATTTTAAATGCAGATGAACTAAATTACATTTAATAATACTAATTATTCATTTTCTCTTCAATAAAACAATAGTTGTGTCTTTTCTCTCCTCTTCAAACAAAACATGATCTGTAAAAAGTGAGTACCACATCAGGCCATAATAATTAACACAGCCTCAGCATGCAGGGCTGTATACACACAGTGTGTGCTAAACTGAGAGACTATGTGAGTTGCAAACTGACAGCAGTATTCCAGGAAGAGCTGTGCAGTGTGAGAAAGCTGCAACTCTCAGTCATATATGCAGAGAGTGAATTGCTGCAGTAAGTGCATATATATTGTATAAAAGTAACACTTTTTGATAACACTCAGTCTCTGATATTATGAAAATAGAGTCTCTTCATAAGATCTGTTTTTACCAGAAGTCAGAGAATCTTATATTTCTCAAGATTATCTTCACATGCCTTGTCTGTGAAATCAATGAGAAGAATCATTGATTTCAGCATTCTGTTCTTGATGTCATTCAAGTGGCAGCAGAGTTCACCCTGCTCACACTTTTTAAGTGTATATTTTCTAATTATTCACATTTATACAAATATATACTGATTATTTATTAGATGATGTTAAGACAATGACTCATCACAGCTGTGTTACTCTCACTATGAAAGATATATGATTGATAATGAATATTGCAAAGACTCTGAGAAGTGAGTATTTTAAGAATGCTGCAGCTCTGTAACCTTGATTTTTTTTATTTTTATTTTTTCTTTTTTCTTTTCTTTTCTTTTTTTTTTTTTTTCTTCCTCTTTTTTTTTCCTTTTTTTATTGGGATTTTTTCTTGTTTTTGTTTTTATTTTTTATTTTTTGTTTTTTTTTGTATTTTATATTTTTTTCATAATTAAAATTATATGAATTATGATCTGTGTTGAGAAAAGTAATAATATTTGATAACACTCTCTGTTGAATTTTCAACAAATGAGTACTATGTTATGATATTATGTAAGTGAGAAATGATTTCATAGTCTCATTTAATGCCATTCTCAATAATGAGATCAGAATGAAAATGTGACTAAGAATTCAAACATATTCTTTATCTGAGACTAGATTTTTATTTGAAAAGTGAATCTGGAATCTTTAATATTTGAAATAACATGATTTGAAATCAATGTGATGAACACAAACCATGATCAGAAGTAATGCTTTTAGGTAATATGACAACTGTAAAGTTTGGTCCTGGTTTCAGACATGGTCACACGGTCAGTCTAGAAGTATCTAAGCATTCTTTCAGTGCTTTTATATTCAATTCTATCATTATTGAAATTATTTATACAGGGATTCCTTGTTAAGATAATCATTGAATTTCTTTATATTGATATTATTGAGTTGCATGCATATCAGCTATTTATTATTATTATAATTTCAACATTGCTTAGAGTCACTGTGACACTGTATCTATACTCATGTTTAAGAGTTCTTTCATACTATTATTAGACATGATTATGTCAATCATTGAATATATAATATCTATAAAATTGAAAGAAGTGTAATTGTATAAATATCTTATATATCTGTAGTGTCAGAACTCTCAGATCTTTCACTGGTATTCTCTTTATAAGATCTTATTCTCTTCATAAGGTCTTGTTACAGAGCCAGAGTGACTGATGAGTAAGCTTCTATCTGAGAACTCAGTATCTGCTTAACTGATTGACTGTTTCTCTACTTCATACATATTGTTATATATTCAGATAGCTTCTCAATGAATAATCATTTCTAATAAGAAGACAATGAATATTTTTCAAGTATAAGAGGCCTATACTGAATAGATCAGTATAATATTTATAGATCTTATATAATAAAGTGAAAAACATTAGAGAAGAAAAGAAAGAGAAAGTGTGAGAATCAGTGATCAGAGTGAATATTTATACACATACACAGTGATATACATAGTGAAACTTTAGGGTGAAAGAATAGGGGTTTTCATACATGGTAAAGCTTCAGAGCGGAAGAATACAAATTCTGTAGATTTTCAGCTGAGAATCAGTGACCGAGAATCAAAGTGGTAGAAATCTGTGAAGTGTAATGAAATAGTCTATATAATTGATCGGGCGCAGCCCGCCACATATTAGATTGATTACAGAGTGCTTAACAGAGAAACACTTCTATTATAACATTCATTTCTGACTTCAACATCAAGATTCTAGAAGCAGGTGATCAATCTTGAAAAAATTAAATGAAGATTAGTATGTTTAAGAAGATATTAACTTTTGAACTCTTACAGCTTCTTATAAGTGTAGACAAAGACCAGACTTATAAAGGTTTCTATGTACAACTTCAGACATTAAATGACTGACTTATCAAGCTCAAGAGTATACAGAACAGTGATAGAATATATTATATCTAGACTGACCATGTGACTGTGTCTGAGACCAGAATCAAACTTTACAGTTATCACATTGTCTAAAAGCATTACTTCTGATCATGATTTGTGTTCATCACATTGATCTCAAATCACATTATTTCAAATATTAAAGGTCTCAGATTCACTTTTCAAATAAAAATCTAGTCTCAGATAAAGAATACATTTGAATTCTTAGTCACATTTTCATTCTGATTTCATTATTGAAAATGACACTAAATAAGACTATGAAATCATTTCTCACTTACATAATATCATAATATAGTACTCATTTGTTAAAAATTCAATAGAAAGTATTATCAAATATTTTTACTTTTCTGAACATAGATCATAATTGATATCATTTTAATTAAAAAAAAAATATAAAATACAAAAAATAATAAAAAAACAAAAAACAAAATAACAAGAAAAAATCACAATAAAAAAAAAAAAAAGAGAAAGAAAAAAAGAAGAGAAAGAAAAAAAGAGAAAGAAAGAAAAAGAAAAATAAAATAAAATAAAAGAAAAAGAAAAAAATAAAAAATAAAAATAAAAAAAAATCAAGATTACAGAGCTATAGTACTCTTAAAATACTCACTTCTCAGAGTCTTTATAATATTTATTATTAATTATGCATTTCTCACAGTGAGAGTAACACAGTTATAATAAGTCATTATCTTAATATTATCTAATAAATAATCAGTATATATCTATATAAATGTGAATAATTAGAAAATATACACTTAAAAAGTGTGATCAGAGTGAACTCTGCTGTCACTTGAATAATATCAAGAGCAGAACACTGAAATCAATGATTTCTCTCATCAGTTTCATAGATAAGATATACAAAGATAATCTTGAGAAATATAAGATTTTCTGACTTCTGATAGAAACAGATCTCACAGAGAGACTCTATTTTCATCATATCAGAGACTGAGTGTTATCAAAAAGTGTTACTTCAATGCATATACACTTACTGTAATAATTCATTCTCTGTATATGTAACTGAGAGTTATAGCTTTCTCACACTGTATAACTCTCTCTGAGATGCTGCTGCTGATTTACAACTTATACAGTCTCTCAGTTCAGTATGTACTGTGTATATACAGTTCTGCATGCTGAGACTGTGTTGATAATTATGATCTGATATGATACTCACTTTTCATGAGCTATGTTTTGTTTGATTAAGAAAGAGAGGAATGTGACTACTATTTTATTTAAGAGAAAATGAATAATTAAATCTATAGAAGATAATTTGATTTCTTCTGCATTTCAAATTTAATTAGTCTATACTCTTCAATTTGAGAGTTTCTGAGAGTGTTTTAATAGTTTTCATATCAGCTTGAAATTAGTGATTGATTGAAGAAGAGAAAAGAGAGAAGAAAGAAATAAGAATAACTTATCTTTATAATATGAAAACAGAGAATTGCTGTAATCATTTATTCTAGTAATAAAGATCTGTTTTCTGTATATATCTCTGATACACATTATATAATAACTGTATATAAAGAATATCAACAGTGCATGTATTGAATGAAAATGATATTGCTATGCAACACTGTAGCTGTTTCTGTACATTACTGAAAGCTGTTAATATTTTCTTTAAGTCTCTTTATATTTGATAAGTCAGTAATATATTTCAATACACTCTTTCTTTCATCATCATCATCATTATTATCATCATCATCATTATTATCATTACTATTACTACTATCATTATCATCATTATTATCATTATTATCATTATTATTATATCATTTCTGACTGTCTCTTCTACCTTCA